GATTCCATATTTAAACGAAAAATTTGATTTTGTCATTGTTGATTGACATTTCGCTTAAGTAAAATAAACGATTCCATATTCGCAAGGGAATCCTTATGAAAGTTAAGAGGATCATTTTCAAATTTTTGAGCTAAATATTCAAATATTTTATCTGTAATGATCTCTCCAAAGTGCTCCCTTGTAACTCCTTCCAGAATTGATCTTAACGAAGAAGTAAAAAGTTGGGGATTTACTGGCTTAAGTGTCATTCGATTGTCCAAAAGCTCGAATCTTTCAATACTGAAAAATTCATTTCTTTCTATCAACTCCTTCAACTCACTAACATGTGGAAAGTATAGAGGTAAGTTGAAGGAGTCTACTTTTTTTGCATTAATTAACTCCTGCAAGAATAAAACTCAATATTAATTTTCTATATCTATTTATACCAATACTTCATCAAGTTAACTGTATATACTTAAATGTATGAAAGAGTCATGGATTGTAGTTTCTTACCAAGTTGGCCATGTCCTTTAAGCAAGATCCAAGAAAATCATAACACATACCAATTGTCGATTTAGCCATTAGAACACCATCTAACAAAACTGATATAATAATTACCATCAAGCCTCCGGGTACAAGCTCTTGGGCTCTCACATTTAAGAAGTTGTTTAGGTCATTCTTAAATTGAGATGCGTATGCTTTAGCTACTTCTATATTAAAGCCAGAACATTGTATGCTGTCTTTATTATATGCAGAGGAATTTTCATCTATAACTTCTCTTGGAACTTTGGATAACCAGTGGACTGCATAAGAAGTGTGAGCAAAATGGATGCTAGACTGTGGAAATAAACGAAGGTAAAAACTACCAGGTACACCGGCAGCAAAATATTTAGGAGGAGAAGAAAGAGTCCTGAAGAGGGTGTTGAAGTCATTATCGGCATGATCATTGAAAAACACTTGAAATTCTAGATTCTTAGAACTAGTTGATATGTCTTCATCTTGATACTTCAGAATTATAGCTTCTATAATGTTTTCTACTGTAAAGAATGTATTGGGTCCGGTCGAACAACCCAAATCTGCTATTTGAATTGTTTTAGAAGTATTAAAGTAGGTATTCTCCAAGTCAAACTTTTCTTTAACAGCTTCGTTGATCATCTTCTTAGTAGCTTCAATTGCACCTCTCTGTAAACACATGAAATTATTGTAATGTTTTTGGGTGAGAATATAAAAATAGTAACTAAACAATATCCTATATATATGTGTGTGTATGTATGTTATATTCTAAATTAGGAATGGGATTCTTCTCTTACTTTTGGGTATAACTCCTTTTGGATTTATTGATGTTATTTTAAACATTATATTTTAGTGATTATATAAAAAAATGTATATTTGTTAAAATTTAATTTAGTTTAAACATTAAATATATTACATTCAATCATAGGAGTTGAAAAAGATAAAAACAAACAGTAAAATAACACCAATTTTATTTGTAAAAATATAATGAAGGAAAAAAACTGTGAGGACATGATAAACATAACTATAAATATATTTATATATATATATATATGTAACTAGATATAAGATATATTTTCTTTTGTAGAAAATAAATTATCTATTCACAAAAATGATGAACGAAATTATAATTTATATTATATTCAAATATAAAAAACTCATATTTAATTTTACTCGCAAAAAATTTTCAAGGGGCACTACGAAATTTTTACCTCTTGGGGGGAACTAATTAGGCTTCAAAATTACATAGCCAAGAGTAATTAGAAGTCTTTATTTTAGTAACTTTACCCAACCCAACATTTGTAAAGGTTAAGGTGAAATTTTATCACAAATTCTCTATATATATACGGATATATATGTGTGTATGAGTGTGTGCTAGCTACAGTAAAAATTATTTACCTGGTAATAAGAGTTTTTACTGTAGCTGTGAGGGCCATCTCCTCCATTCATGGGTTTTGATCGGATTAATGGAGGAACCTCTTGCTCTGCCATCTCTCTCTCCCTCTCTCACTCTCTTCTCTCTTCAGATCTCTTAACTTCTACCGACTGATCATGTATCTGTGTGTATACACACACACACACACACATATATATATATATATTACTAGAGTCCTGAATTATTCATACACTAATATCATCATCATGATCATCATCATCACTGTTATCATCATTATAATTAATCAGCCATTGAGCAATGGACTGTTTTAAATATCTTCATATATAACACATGAAAGTCTAAAATAATAAGTGGCTTTTTCATTAATTACGTACATTGAGAAGGAAAATAATTAATTAATTACGATTAGGTAGTATGGTTTATATAATATATACACATATATGTTTTTAATTTGATGTACATGGTATAGCTTCCAAACCTGTCGTCTCATGGCCGGCTCTTGCCATTATTGAACTTGAAGCACCCAATTTTACAAGTTATTGACCTAGAGAATATAATAACACCTCGAAAGCATCATACAGTATTATATTTATATTTTTCTTAAATTTTAATAAAAATTATATATTTAATTAATTATATAATATGTATAGTAATTATAACCTAATTTTTTAAACAAATATATATGAAAACATGTACCACTTTAATTCATAAGGGCCTTAGGTGATATTTCATCTCTGCTTTTTTCGTTAACGCAATACATACACCTGAACCGCACCTCCCCAAAATCAAAAGAAAATTCTATATCTTCGTATGGACATAGAAGGATAAATTAAGCATTCTTGTGTTTGTGTGTGTGTGTTTGTGGAAAGTATAAAAACAAGTTGAAAGAATCTACTTTTTCTATATTAATTAACCCCGATAAGAATAAAACTCAATGTTAATTCTCTATATATATTTCATGTCAATTTCTCATCAAGTTACTATACGTTCTTAAATGTAAGGAAGAGCCATGGATTATAGCTTCTTACCAAGTGGACCATGTTCGTCAAGCAAGATCTAAGAAAATCATAACACACACCCATTGCAGTTCTAGACATTAGAATACCATTTGGCAAAACTAATGTAAGAATTACCATCAAGCCTCCAAGTACAAGCTCTTGAGCTCTTGCATTTAAGAAGTTGCTCAGGTCTTCATTAAATTGAGATGCATAAGCCTTAGCTACTTCTTTATTGAAGCCAGAGCATTGTCTATTGTCTTTATTATAAGCACATGAATTTTTATCTATAATTTCTTTTGGAACTTTAGATAACCAGTGGACTGCATAAGAAGTATAAGCGAAATAGACGCTATACTGTAAAAATAAACGACAGTAAAAACTATTAGACACACCAGCAACAAAATATTTAGGAGGAGAAGGAAGAGTTTTAAAAAGCGTGTTGAAGTCATTCTCGACGTGATCATTGAAAAACACTTGAAATTCTAAATTCTTGGAGTTACTTGATATGTTTTCGTCTTGGTATTTAAGCTCTATAGCTTCTATAATGCTCTCAACTAAAAAGAATGTATTGGGTCCGATAGAACAACTCAAAACTGCTATCCAAATTATTTTAAAAGTATTAAAGTAGGTGTTCTCTAGGTCAAATTTTTCTTTGACGGCTTCGTTGATCATCTTCTTGGAAACATCAACCACACCTCTCTATAAACACGTAAAATTGCTTTGTATTTTTTCCTTCTAACACATAAAAACAGTAATTAAATAATATCATATATATATTTATGTCATATACATCATATTCTAATTAAGAATGATATTCTTTTCTTATTATATACAAAAGAAAGTCTAATTTAAAAGAATAATTAACTAGAGAGAAGTTCTTTAGTTTTGAGTGTAACTATTTTTGGATTTATTGATGTTATTTTAAAAATTATATTTTAGTGATTATATAAAAAAAATGTACATCTGTTAATTTCTAGTTTAGTTTAAATGTTAAATATATCACGTGTCAAACATAGGAATCAGAAAGAATAAAAACAAACGGTAACATAACACCAATTTTATTCGTAGAAATATGAAAAAAAAACTCTCCGACCTATTAAAAGGAGAAGCAATGTGAGAAATTAATAAATAAAATTAGAAACGTATACAACATATATAAAAAATATAAAATATATATACGTAGATACACGATATCTTTTTGTTTTTTGAAAATAAAATATTATTTATAAAAATAATTGACGAAAACATATATTATATTTTATTCGACTATCAAAAATTCGTAATGCAAGTTTACTCGTAAAAAAACTTCTTTCCAGAAGATATTATGAAATTTTAGTTTCAGCAATTTTTTTAAAACTATTTTCCAAAATCAAAGACATAGAAGGGTAAATTAAGCATTCTTTTGTGTGTATGTGTATACATATATATATATATATATATATATATATATATGGATATATATGAGTGTATGAGTGTGTGCTAGCTACAGCAGCAATTATTTACCTGGTAATAAGAGTTTTTACTATAGCTGTAAGGGCCATGTCCACCATTCATGTCTCTTCAAATCTCTTAATTTCTACCAAGTGATCATGTGTCTGTGTATACACACACACACACTTACACACACATATATATATATATATTTTTTACTAGAGTCCTGAATTATTTATAAATCGATATCATCATCATGCTTATCATCGTTATTGTTAAATCAGAGATCGAGATATAAATTATGTTAAATATTTCCATACGTACCTCGTGAAAGTCTAAGATAACAAGTTGCATTTTTATCAATTAAATGTCGTTTATGTAATATATATATATATATATATATATACAGATATGTTTTTTTAATTTGATTCACGTTTCATGGCCGGCTCTAGCCATTATTGAACTTGAAGTAAACATACAAGCAAGCCAACTAAAAATAAGTTACACGTGACAGACATTGTGAATAAGAAACCTTATCAATCTGTCTTTAAGAATAAGAAAACTTCTCTACATATATATATATATATATATATATATATATTATCTTTTTTGATTCTCAAAAGATACACACACACATATATATATATATATAGCTTACAGAATTGGAGTATATTAATTTCTGTGAGGTCAAACCTACTACCAGATTTGCTATAATCAATCCATATTATTTTCTAATATATTATTTATCATCACGATCACCATTCACGTATTAGTAATTAACAAATAATTAATGAAGACTCAACGTGGAGGGCACGTACATATAAAAGAATTTTGATATTTATAATGGGATATATATTATACTAATTAACTCTGTATACGTCATTTTTTAATCATAATGGAAAAGTAGTGAGATATATTAAATGAGAATTAACGTTTTATACAGATATTTAGTTTATAATAACTATCTAATTCACTTAATCTGTATTTAGTGAATATTCGGGA